AGTAAATGTTGTATGCAATGTGTTAACGCGTTTAGGAAATTTTTCTTCATGTCACTTTTGGGTGCTTCAAGTACAACTAGATGTGCTCTTTTTAACCATGCCATCTGTTTTAGTTTCTGAGTTAACAGGAGGCCATAATCAAGAGTTTTCTGAGGTATCCATCGCAAAACAAAACAACTTACTAGATTTTTGAAGCAAAATCCTTTTGAAATTCGTTTCTTATGGCTTGACTTTGCCTCTAATAATGCTAATTTGAGAAGTTACGTATAGTTCCGAAGTTTTAATTATATATGGAACATAAAAGAATCATCTTCTGGCCGAATATGGCTAGAAAATGACGAAAGCACACAAAACGTTTGAAATCTGCAAATTTTATTATGATAAAGCTCCAAATACAATAAGAAAGACGGGTTGCAGTTAGTCGTGCGATAAGATATCAAAGTTGAAGATTGAATACATTTTAAATGAAAAGATAGTGACTTTTTCGCTAGGAGTCTATAATTTTGCTACAGTGATTTCCCGGTCTTTTTCAATTATCTCTTCAATTATTAAAAGACAAAGAGGGGTGATCAGACTATCTGTGAGTACTTGCATAATCCCATATACGCATACTAGTAGCAGACTGATATCATCTGTTGTGAAAATAAAATAAACGATTTTCTTTATATTTTAAAGGGGATCTATAACTTTGGCACACCCGTACGTCAGAATTTCGATCAACGTCAATATTTAATGTAAAATCAATGTCTTCTTCTAATTGAAAAATTTGTAAATTCAAATTTTCTTTGTTTTCATTGCACCACTTATTTATTAATTTAAGAACATGTGTTTTATGATCGGATAAAGATAATGAAGAAATTCTTTTTTCTTGCACTGGTAATTCCAAAGAAGAGATTGATGATACATTGAGATTTGATTGCCGTTGTTTATTTTTCTTCGGATGTTTTAGCTCTTGGGTTAATTTTTCTTGTAAAGCTCGTTTTAAAGAAAGAAATCTCGAAATCACACCAGGCTTGATTAAATATTTATCATTTTTCATTTTAAAGCATAGCTGTTCTTTCAATGTATCTAATTCTTCATCTTCAATGTCTTGATTAAAAATATCTAAAGGATCTTCAATCATTATTAATGAAGATGTTGTTCTTACTGCAATTTTATTTAATAACTTAGCCTCTGATTCACCAAGAATAGTTTTTATAAACTGAAAAAATTCGTAACCAGATAACGTCAACACATTTAATGGTAAACTGTCAAAATGATAAGAAATCGACATGATGGTGTTCTTCTAAAAGTGAAAATAAAAATATAAAAGAAAACATATAAAGAATAACATTATTATTCTAAAAATGTGTTCTAAACATAAACAACGAAAATGAATAACTTAACAGAAAATGTAAAAAGATACGAATAAACGATTCGGGCATAAAATCAGCCAACTGTAAACGAGACGTACATATGAAATTATTTTTTTCCAGCTAACTTCTCATGTATTTCATAAAATGGTGACACCTGTAAATAGAATATAGTAAGAAGGAGTTCTGTAATTCCTAATGACTTCTAAAATGATATTTATTAGTTGAAAATGATTATCTCAAATTACTTACATACATGTATATATTAATAGCTCTTAAAATATACTCATTTGATTAGAATTAATTTAATATGGGATATGCGTTGTTATAATCTGCACTTTTGTCGAATGGATTTTCGACATGAATATATAAACGATCAATTCATTATCAATCTGATGATTGCATGTGGACTCTCTGTTAATTATGTATAGCAATCAATTTTCATAGTCGTATTTTATTAATTATGCTTTATCAAGTCTTTGTTCTTGTGAATTACTTTATAGAAATGTATTTTATTTTTAGGTGCTTCTACATTTTCCTTTCTTGTTAATATTGATTTACAAAATGTTCTCGTTAGTGATCTATTTTTCTTGTTCAATGTATAATGAACGATCGTTCATTTCCTGTAACTAAACGTTGTCAGAAAGTTTAGCTTTACAGTTTGTTGTGCTTCCTAAAGAAGTTCCCTTTTTAAAATGTATCTATACAGCTAGCTTAAAAATAAAATTGGTTGGTTGGTGTTCTCGTTTAACCTTTTGAAGATTTTGTTATGCTATTCTTTAATGAAGTCTTATATCATTCTCTATTTAGTATTGATTTTGCAGTTACACTATACTTGATTCATAATTGTGGGATTTATAACTTTGACAAGTAATTGAACGAAAAACAATTTCAGTTGCTGTTGGATTTTCAAACTGTAACGTATCTATCTTGAGAATCGTGCAGTATATGTTCAATTATATACCTTTTTCAGATAAATAGTCAATATTTTGTGAACAAAATGAGCTCTCATGCCGACCGTGATTGTTTAATTGATGTTTCGGTTTCGCCGAAAGATATTTTTTCACGTATTAATCATAAATTTTATGATGTTGTTAAATTTGTTGCCGGAGATTTGGCGGTTAAAATTTTACGTATACAAATGATTAATTCTGCAGGAAAGCTATTGAATACTCCTGATGTATTCGCATTTTTGCGCATTGATTCAGAAGAAATAGATGCAATTAAAATTGAATCATGCTTCAAATCTAAAAATGGTCAATTTATAATTAAACCAGGTATTAAAAGTGGAGTATCCTACTTGGTTAAACTATTACAAGAAACATTAAAAGAAGAACGAGAATTAGCATCGAATGAAAATAATGAAACTCACCAAAAATATATCAATAATGATTTTATTGATAAGCATCCACTATTAAAATCGAAAATAGAATGGTATCAGGTGAATGGATTAAACAATACAAACAAAACAAATGCATTTTTAACATCATTTATTGACAATTTAATAAGCAACTGTACACGATCTCCAAATCATTTTAGATATGATGAATCAATAAAGAAATTTGCAATCTGCTTATATGTTCTAGATGGTAAACAAGTCTATGAGTTTATTCGTTTAAATCTATATGAATCTATTCCTAATTTGACTACAGTCTGTGAATTAATCAACAAATCAGATGCAGCCCTTAGTGAAGCCGAATTTCAATTTGAATCTCTTCAACAATTTCATTCACGTTTTGCCTTTTGTTCTGAAGACACTACTGAAATAATTCGTAAGGTTGAATATGATTNTCGGATTTGCAACCCCAATTGTTCATGGTATTCCACTATCACAATCGTATCAAGCTGAAACATTTAATGATTTAAAAACAATCTATGAAACGAATGACATAGCACCATTATTAAATGTGCCTATGCTTCAAGGCATACCAACTGAAGATAATGCAACATACATGCCCCGACCATTTTTATTATCAGCATACGGTGTTAATAATAAAATTACTGCAATGGAGGTGTTAAATCGGTGGATGTATATTTTTCGAAATTGTTTAGACAAAGGTGTTCGTCTTA